TAACAGTACTGTCGTAATGAGTAAGAACTCTTGAAGTAAACCCCCCAACATGAGTCATCAGCAGTGTTTCAACCCAGGATCTTTAGATTCGAATCACAGTCCAATTCCACTTAAATGATTGTTAACTATTAGCTGGTAGCAGTAGTAGGCAGTTATCCCCTATTTTGATTATCTACTAAAAGGAAGATGCAACAAACACTGGTACAGTTTTAGTTTACATGACAAAGTTTTTCTGGCATAGCTATATCAGTGAGGGTTGTGGAAAAAACCCACACCCTGTAGCCAACATAGCTATGCCAGCAAAGCCCCTTGTGAAGATAAAACTCTGCCAACAGCGGAGCGCTTTTGTAAGCTTAGCTAATGTCATTTGGGGGGATGGTGTAGCTATGTCGGCAGAATTTGTCAGCTTATGCTGCATCTCCACTAGGGGGCTCTGCTGGCATAAACAAGCTCAGACAGACACATGATTACAATGTAATACTTTGCAGATAAGGATTTTGCCTGTCTGCCTATGCAGACCTACCATGTCATGAAATTAGAGTACTGATGTGAAAAACAGTTCAGGTTAGTATGGTGGCAAAGCATCATATGTGGCACTAGAGACAAATATATGTGAAACTACATAATACTAGTTGTGTGGGAAGCTTCCATTGCTAAATGGGGAACATCTCACTCAAACTCTTACTCAGGGAAAAAAACCTATATAATTGTCTGATTCTAAATCAGCATGTAAAGGCCTCGATCTTGAATCTGGGCTGCATTGTGTGAGGCACTGTACAAACAGTGTAAAGGAGTGCATGTTTATACTAAGTGATCATCAGGAAGTGCAAGTACAATGATTGTAATATTGCAGATAGCAGCTACACTATCTTGGTGTTAGCTGATTACTTGCACTTAGACAATACAAATAAACATCTGTCTCCTTAAGCCAAAAAGGAAAGCAAGTATGCAAGTTTCTCAGTAGTCTGAGAATACTGCACTATCACAGCTCAACCGGAGAGCAGAAAGTTGTGGTGTAACTCTGGCTTGTTGTGGAAGTGCCTTTTTACTCACCATTTTGTGCATTTCTAACACTTGATGGGGTTTTACTTTTTAAACCTTAATGATCTCAGAAGTGTAATATGTGCTTATACATGGTTATATGCTTACAACCTTAACTTCACCTTAGCAAAGCTTTTTGTGTGGAAATGAAATATGAGCTGCTGCTGGAGGCAGGAAGACAGACTGGGTAGATCAGTGATCTCATCCACACTGACAAATCCTATGCTTCAATATTTAAAAAAGATTTCTTTTCAATGTGCATTATCTCAACAGAGATCATTTCAAATGTAAGAACGACTCTTCCCCCATTTTATCCCATCAAATACAATGTAAGTGAATAAAGCAGAGGCTGACTTGCCCATTAATTAATGCATTATCTGATGTTTTGGAATGGAAGAACCTGCACTTCCATTTCTGTGCTTCATAGCAATGCTGCTTTAGAGGAGGTCATGACCCCTCAGGGATTGGTAGATTATTTCATGGGGGGTCACCAGCTGTTAGCCTCCACCCCCAAGTCCCACTTCTCCTCCAGCATTTATAATATCATTAAATAGAAAAAAAAAAGTTGGTAATGTATAGGGATGTGAATGACTAGTCAACTATCCAATAAGCAAATGCATATCGGATAGTCGACATGCTAGTCGATTAAGCCCAGGGTTAGACCCTGGCTCCATGTGGCACTGCCACTTTGTAACGCCGCATATAGCCCAGCTTGCCTGGGTCGCATGCAGTGTTTCAAAGAGGCAATGCCGTGTGAAATCCAGGGTCTGCCCCTTTGAAATGCTGCATGTAGCCCAGGGCCAGCTGGCAACTCTGAGTCCCCAGCTAACACTGGGCTCAATGTGGCGCTGCCACTTTGAAACCCTGTGGAGAGCTCGGGGCCAGTGGGGGACTGCCTTAGAAGTGTAGCAACAGTCAGGAAAGTGGAGGCACCCTTAACAACTAATCAAATAGTCAATGTGAATTGCATCGAATAGTCTATTAGGCAATCTCAATTTAACATCCCTAGTAATGTATAAGGAGGAAGGGGTGTCACTTCACTGGCTTGCTCTGTGAAAGAATCCCTGCTTTAGAGGTTATATGCTCCTTACCTTTTGGTGCCCCTGATGGAGGCATTTCTAACTGTTCCCTGGAACCAAGCAAGCCCTATACATATTTTCCAAACATCACGCATCATGTGTGCACATGATATTCAGTTCACTCATAATGAAAGAAAATACTAATCAACCCTTGCTCCCCATTTTGTGCATTCATTCTTCAAACTTCTGCCTCGGTCATCTTCTATTCTTGGCTTGATAATTTAAAGCAAACTTGGAACCCCGTATCTTCACAAAACCTTCATTCTCTGATCTTATCAATGATGTCTGCGTACTCGCTTGTACAGGAACCAGCTTTCTGCACATTTTATTTTTCTGGCTCGGAATGTAAGTGCCTTAGGGAAGGGAGTTTTGTCTTTTAAATATTTGGTAAAATGGTATGTACGTTAAAGATTAGTTAAATGAGATTGTTTTTATACTATGTATATATAATTGCATCTCATAACTGGAGCCCCTTTGATGCTTTTAATGGATACCATCTGCCATAAACATTTTCATGAAATGGTTTTTGCTTCTCAGAGTCTGAAACCAAAACATTGAGTCCTCGAATTCTCCATTTTATTCATGGGATAGAACCAGCTTCTCTATGGTGGGCGTATTTCATGTTGTCTTGCCTTAAACTCTATGGTTTCTGCAAAACAATTCTTTTGTGAAGAGAGAAGGAACTCATTCTTTGTGTTTCTGGTTATACTCTTCTCTGACAAATGTTTCTGTGTTTTTGTTCATAGAGGTGCAAAAGGTTGGTTTGTAGTTCGATAGAGTCTATTCTCAACTCTTACTGTACTTCATTTGACAGTACAATGAACCAAGGGCCTTTGATCCTTATCTAATTTTGTGGTCTTTGGGGGTCTCTCTTGCAGTCTGCTGTGTTGACTGCTTGCACAAAGCCAACACAATACACAGAGGAGCGTATATACATGTAGCCAAATGGTCATTGATGGAGCAGGAGACCTGTCATGACACCATTACAATTTTCGGCCAAAAAATATGAACACAGGACTGATTCCAGTGAGCTTACAAATGAACAGATTAAGTCCAAGCATCCAGTTCTCGTACTTAGAAATATGCGCCTCTTTTTTTTCTCGAAAACTTGGCTAATCACAATATTGGTGTACTCAGTAGCTGATCTAAAGTTCATGAGATCTCAGCCCTGTTGTATCAGTATGGAGATACGGACTGCAGTCAATTACCAAGTAAGGTAACCAAAAATCACGAAAGCCTTACTCCTCCATGATGCATAAGCTACAACTCCCAGAACAAACAATAGTCTACACCATTCATTGAAACCTGTTCACTTGTTTTAAACATGGGTGTGCATGTATGATGTGCTAACATTCTGTTTCTCAAAACCAGTTCAGCAGTTATTTACCTTTCAGGAAATTAACATAATTACCATTAGGCTAAGAAGTAATTTTGGAAGTTCTGCTCTGAGCCCTTATGACTCCACTGGGACAGTTTTAGTTGGGACTTATTTTTTTAATGGAAGCCTAATTGCAGTTTTGGCTTTGTGCACACAAACAGAGGTGGCTAACTGTTTAGACAAATAGCAGATTAATTTAAATATGCATCCCTAATAAAACAAAAATGGTCTCCATTATTGTTCTCATTCCCATGACAAGGAATATAAATATTCTGCAGGAGTGCCATTAGGGAGAGTCCTTAAGGAATGTCTACATTATTTTATAGTGGTAGCACTTTCAAGATACTGAATAATCTTTACAAAAGGGAACATAAATCAATTTAAACTCATTTAGATACCATTTCCACTATGAGCAGTTTCATTACCACACTCTCGCTTTGCCTCCTTTGGGACGCAGGCGAGGCGTTTGCAAACTGGCATGGGTGCCCATCCACAGCTGCTTGTTAGAGCTTTTATGTCTCCTTTTGAAGTAGAAGCCACCATTAATCATTTCATCATTAATGGCCATGCTCAAGTAGAGGGAAGGCTTCTCTAGCTCTGATCCTGTCATACTGAAGAACTGCTGCTCCGTTTCAGTTCAGGGGTAGCTTAAAAGTGAGCTCTAGCTCACTTTGTGTGTTCAGCCCTGCTGGTCTGTAATTCACTAATAACTCCAATTTACGCTTGTAAATTGAAATTAAAGTGCTTGACTTTATGTATTCTCCTTTTTAAGTGGAATTCTTTTGAGTCACGCAGCAAGCTAGTGCAATTGCCAACCTGTTATCCACTGATCTGAACCACTGAAAGGAGTAACATTCCTTTTCCCTAGCCAGGGGTACTGTTCTCTTTAGCTTTCAAAAAGTGATAATCATCTCAGCATTTCCCCCATTCTTTGAAACATCAAGATTGGAAATAAAGTAGTGTTTGCAAGCTAAATGTAACTGTCCTGCTAGGATAAGGCCTTTGATTCCACTTTCAGAAGGGCGCAGAATCTCCCTTCCTGTGCACAATCCAAATCTGTACAAAGACACTTAGAGTGCGAGAATGTAAGGGGGCGGTCACTTCAAGCATTTAACCTGGATCTCCAGAGTGGTTCCTTGTCATTAAATGAGGGTAAGTATAAAAAGTTAAGTCTTATCATTTGCAACTTTTTTTTTTTTAAGAACTCCTTGTATTCTAGCAAATGGTTTGTTTCATTCCTAGTGCATCAAGAGGAACATGGTCAAGGCAATGTTCTCTGGAAGTCAGAATGTAAGACTTGTTCAGGGAAAGTACAACTATTACCCACACTGGAGCCCATTTGGCAGTGCGCTGGAGTTCTCGTGGCTGTAGTCCTGCAGGTGCTCCGGGATCTGCCTCCCATGTGTCAGCCCTTTCACTAATACACAGACACTGCTATCTTCATGCTATTTTTGTGTATTAAATAGGGTAACAGAAGCATTTGTTTTGCCTTTTGTATGCAGGCACTGTTAATGTTTGGAGTCTCATGATAGGGCGTGAACCCATCCATCATTACCAGCACAATCAAAGGATACAGGCTTTGGCCCTTGGCTCGGAGGGTGCAGCCATAGCAACTGCATCTGGCTTCCAGGTCAAGGTGGAAAGCGCTGATGACAGGGGATATTGGCAAACTACTGCACAGTTTGAAATCCAGAAATTGGTGAGTATTTTCCAGCTGGCCAGTTTGGTTCCAGGTGTTCCAGATCTTCTAATCTTCCTGGCCAAGTGAAATCTTACAATGTCCTTAAGGATGTTGCATTGGCTATGTGAGAGCATTAACAGGTAGCTGGGATTGTAGTGAGTTAATGCATGAGCCTTTCATCCCTGAAGAGCTAGGATGAAATCCTGGCCTAAACCACAAGTGAAAATGAAGCTGAGCCCATATGGTGTGGGAGGTTTTGTTGTTTTTTAATTATTTTTTGTCAACATTAAACTAAGTTGGCTCATTTATGGATCAAGGTTTTCTCACATAGAATTTCAGATCAACACTAGCTGATGAGTTCTGAGGCAGGATATCACAAGCTAGCTAATGCTGTCACTTGTGAAGCTGTAACGGGTTGCACAGCTTCTTTAGTTTACACCTTCTGTCTATGGAGTTCTGAGGCTATTTTATCTTTTAAAAAAAATCCAAAGTTTATTATGGGCCAAGTCTGTTAAATGGCGAGGGAGGAAATGAGCTTATTAAAGTATAAATCTTCTGATTTCTGACAAATACAAGAAAACTAAATGTACATGGAATAACTGTAGAGCTCTGATGAATCAAACCCTAATAATCTTCTACCTGGAAACATCCTTAAACTACTGATGAAGCTGATGATTTTTACATGTTTTAGTATTTGACTAGAAAACAACAAAGAAATAACTGCATTGGAACTGGATCACCCTGTTCTGAAGTGCTCCCTCATGATTATTTCTGTGCCTCCATGGAAGGAGATCCATTGTCAGTATTCTTTCCCCTTCCTCTGTATGTAATACCTATTTCTGGTATTTGAAAGAAACGCTGGAGATCCTGTCAGTTGGGTTGGATTAGAAACCACAGCATGAAATTATCTATCTCAACCCTTTCCATACTGAAAGTCCCAGCAATCCTCTTTCCCATTTATCAGTATGGCAAAAGCAGAGTGGCTGTGATCTTCACACCTGACTGTGATTTCCCTGCCCCCCACCCCTGGTTTGAGAACCCCTCAGCAGTTTCACCAGCACATTTGTTTAACCTAGAAATGTTGCTGTAGTCTCTTAGTGGTTCTAGCAGAGAACTGAAAGTCAGGACTCCTGGATGCTAATCCTGCCTCTTCCACTGATTTATTATGCCCTTGTGCAGATCACTTTATATAACCTCTTGGTGCTTCAGTTTCTCCATCTGTAAAATGACTCTGTTAAGGAGATGTAGAGAGAGTTCTTGAGGTGCCCAGGATCAGGAGTCACCTTCTTACCCCCTTGCCTTCTTTCCCCCTTGCTTGTGCTTAATTGGTAGTTCCCTGCCACCTTCAGTTTTAGCCATTCATTCATTCTCCTTTTGGCTGTGAGAGTCCTGTCCAGGATCAGGTCAGCTGTCCCCAGAGGAGCAGTGGACTTACCATTCAACTCAGGTCAGCTTCAGTGTCACCTCACAATACTGAGGTGGATTTATAGTAACACCAAGCATATGCTTATTATCGAAGGTTAAGATTTACAAAACAGTGAGTAAGGATAATGGGAGCAGAAAGATTACATATAAAACAATCATAATCATAGAATCATAGAATAATAGGACTGGAAGGGACCTCAAGAGGTCATCGAGTCCAGCCCCCCGCCCTCAAGGCAGGACCAAGCCCCGTCTACACCATCCCTGACAGATGTCTATCTAACCTGTTCTTAAATATCTCCAGAGAGGGAGATTCCACCACCTCCCTTGGCAATTTATTCCAATATTTGACCACCCTGACAGTTAGGAATTTTTTCCTAATGTCCAATCTAAACCTCCCCTGCTGCACTTTAAGCCCATTACTCCTTGTCCTGTCCTCAGAAACCAAGAGAAACAAATTTTCTCCTTCCTCCTTGTGACACCCTTTTAGATATTTGAAAACCACTATCATGTCCCCCCTTAATCTTCGTTTTTCCAAACTAAACAAGCCCAGTTCACGAAGCCTGGCTTCATAGGTCATGTTCTCTAAACCTTTAATCATTCTTGTCGCTCTTCTCTGTACCCTTTCCAATTTCTCCACATCTTTCTTGAAATGTGGCGCCCAGAACTGGACACAGTACTCCAGCTGAGGCCTAACTAGTGCAGAATAGAGCGGCAGAATGACTTCACGAGTTTTGCTTACAACACACCTGTTAATACAACCTAGAATCATATTTGCTTTTTTGGCAACAGCATCACACTGTTGACTCATATTCAACTTGTGGTCCACTATGACCCCTAGATCCCTTTCCGCCATGCTCCTTCCTAGACAGTCGCTTCCCATCTTGTATGTATGGAACTGATTGTTCCTTCCTAAGTGGAGCACTCTGCATTTCTCCTTATTAAACCTCATCCTGTTTACCTCTGACCATTTCTCTAACTTGCTAAGGTCATTTTGAATTATGTCCCTATCCTCCAAAGAAGTTGCAACCCCACCCAGTTTGGTATCATCTGCAAACTTAATAAGAGTACTCTCTATCCCAATATCTACATCATTGATGAAGATATTGAACAGTACGGGTCCCAAAACAGACCCTTGAGGAACTCCACTTGTTATCCCTTTCCAGCAGGATTTAGAACCGTTAACAACAACTCTCTGACTACGGTTATCCAGCCAATTATGCACCCACCTTATCGTGGCCCTATCTAAGTTATATTTGCCTAGTTTATCAATAAGAATATCATGCGAGACCGTATCAAATGCCTTACTAAAGTCTAGGTATATGACATCCACCGCTTCTCCCTTATCCACAAGGCTCGTTATCCTATCAAAGAAAGCTATCAGATTAGTTTGGCATGACTTGTTCTTCACAAACCCATGCTGGCTATTCCCTATCACTTTATTACCTTCCAAGTGTTTGCATATGATTTCCTTAATTACCTGCTCCATTATCTTCCCTGGGACAGACGTTAAACTGACCGGTCTATAATTTCCTGGGTTGTTCTTATTCCCCTTTTTATAGATGGGCACAATATTTGCCCTTTTCCAGTCTTCTGGAATCTCCCCTGTCTGCCATGATTTTTCAAAGATCATAGCTAAAGGCTCAGATACCTCCTCTATCAGCTCCTTGAGTATCCTGGGATGCATTTCATCAGGACCTGGTGACTTGCTGACATCTAACTTTCCTAAGTGATTTTTAACTTGTTCTTTGTGTATCCTATCTTCTAAACTTACCCTCTCTCTGCTTGTATTCACTACGTTAGGCACACCTCCAGACTTCTCGGTGAAGACCGAAACAAAGAAGTCATTGAGCATCTCCGCCATTTCCAAGTTCCCTGTTACTGCTTCTCCCTCCTCACTAAGCAGTGGGCCTACCCTGTCCTTGGTCTTCCTCTTGCTTTTAATGTATTTATAAAAGGTCTTCTTGTTTCCCTTTATGCCTGTAGCTAGTTTGATCTCATTTTGTGCCTTTGCCTTTCTAATCTTGCCCCTGCATTCCCGTGTTGCTTGCCTATATTCATCCTTTGTTAGTTGTCCTAGTTTCCATTTTTTATATGACTCCTTTTTTATTTTGAGATCATGCAAGATCTCCTTGTTAAGCCAAGCTGGTCTTTTGCCATATTTTCTATCTTTCCTACACAGCGGAATTGTTTGCTTTTGGGCCCTTAACAACGTCCCTTTGAAATACTTCCAACTCTCCTCAGTTGTTTTTCCCTTCAGTCTTGCTTCCCATGGGACCTTACCTACAAGTTCTCTGAGCTTATCAAAATCTGCCTTCCTGAAATCCATAACCTCAATTGTGCTGGTCTCCCTTCTACCTTTCCTTAAGATCATGAACTCTATTATTTCATGATCACTGTCCCCTATACTGTCTTCCACTTTCAAGTTCTCAACTAGTTCCTCCCTATTTGTTAAAACCAAATCCAGAACAGCTTCTCCTCTGGTAGCTTTTTCAACCTTCTGAAACAGAAAGTTGTCTCCAATGCAGTCCAGAAACTTATTGGATAGCCTGTGCCTCGCTGTGTTAGTTTCCCAACATATGTCTGGATAGTTGAAGTCCCCCATCACCACCAAATCTTGGGCTTTGGATAGTTTTGTTAATTGTTTAAAAAAGGCCTCATCCACCTCTTCCACCTGGCTAGGTGGCCTGTAGTAGACTCCTAGCATGATATCACCCTCGTTTTTTACCCCTTTTAGCTTAACCCAGAGACTCTCTACACAGCTATCTCCTACGTTCATCTCCACTTCAGTCCAAGTGTGTACATTTTTAATATACAAGGCAACCCCTCCTCCCTTTTTTCCCTGTCTGTCCTTCCTGACAGAATGTGCTCAGCATGTTTGTCTTAGACCTGCCCACTCTTCCCTGTTGAAGAAACAAAAACATGAACAGGGAAGAACTGTTCATTCTTCTTTTAAAAGACTAGGGGGGCAGTGTCCCCTGCTCTCTCTGCTTCCAAACTCAGCCGCTTTGCTCACCTGCCCCCGTCGAACCTAGTTTAAAGCCCTCCTCACAAGGTTAGCCAGTCTGTGTCCAAACAAGGCCTTCCCGCTCCTGGAAAGGTGAACTCCATCTCCGCCAAGCAGTCCTTCCTGGAAGAGCACCCCGTGATCAAGGAAGCCGAATCCCTCCTGGCGACACCATCGTCGCAGCCAGGCATTCACCTCCAGGATGCACCTCTCTCTGCCCGGGCCCCTACCTTTGACAGGAAGGATAGAAGAGAATACCACCTGCGCTCCAAACTCCTTCACCCGTACTCCCAAAGCCCTGTAGTCACACTTGATCCGCTCAGTGTCACACCTGGCAGTATCATTTGTGCCCATGTGGATGAGTAGCATGGGGTAGTAGTCAGAGGGCCAGATAATCCTCGACAATGCCTCCGTAACATCTCGGATACGGGCCCCTGGCAGACAATACTGATTTTAAAGACTAAACTTTAATGTGATTAATCATATGTCTAAAGAAATTTCTATCACCCTAATAGTCTTTTGCAACGTTACAGCTGAGCTCGATTAAAAGCTTATTTTTTATTAATGTAAAAGTTGTGTCTATTTAATTCCTCAGGTGCAGGAAAAAGGAGTATTTTTGCCTTCCTCTTATGTTCTCCAAAGTTTCCTTGGCTGTCCCCAAAGACAGGGCAACCCCCAGTAGGTAGTCTACATTTTCTCCCAGTTGATTTTCCATAATTCTTTAAGGATTAATTCTTCTCTTTTAATAAATGTGCTGATTATGAAAGCCTTAGAATGATGAAGGGTGTTGTAAAGAGCCCTAATTAGCATATGATTATGCCTTGTGTAAAAAAACCTAAGAAATGTTTGTGCTATTGTAGGTCAAATTTCTCCATCTGGTTCCAGATGTTGGGAGTCCAGTGCCTATAGCAGCTGCTGAAGATACCGTCTACATCTTAAAAGCAGAAGAGCCAGGCAAAGTTCTCCATTCTGTATATGGCCAGCCTGTCACATGTCTAGATGTATCTGCCAACGAGGCAGCCTTTGGAGTAAAAGGCTTTGGCTGGCTGTTGAATGAGACCAACAAGGTATTCTGAAAACCTTAGATTATGTAGTAGTGTTCTGTTGTAGAAGTCAAACTTCCAAACTTTCAGAACGATTGGGATTTTAAAATGCATTTAATTAAGTAATTGTGTAACTACTGAAAATTTCAGTTTTTACATGGATTTATGTGGGGGGCAGGTGGCTCCCCTGGAGCCAGTGCACACAGGGAGCTGGCTTTGAAGATGGCTCCCCGCACATACTGGGAGTCTGCGTGTAACCATGAACGTTAACTGATGGGCCCTGGCTCATGGTTTAATTGTATACACAGTTACACTTTCACATATCTACATCACAGTAAATTTCAGTGTTGCTTCCCGGAGTACTCAGAGTCTAAGTTATTTCTAATCTGCACAGCCACATAGCTGACTAATAAACCCTGTGCAGAGGCTCAAGGTTGCCACACAGAGAGATGCCTCTTCTTCAGCACAGAGTGCTGCCTCTGCTTGTGAGCCGCAGCGTAGACATGCTGCGGCCAAAGGTGTACCTGCCGCACTGGGGGAGACGCACATCTCCTGTTGCCTGGCCTAGTGCAGCCCCACCAGAGCTGCCACGGCTGGCAGAATGGTGCCCCTCATCTGGCCTGCAGCTGCTGGGTGTGAGAGAGCTGAGAGGAGCCATCTCTGCTAGGGAAGCCTGTACCTGGAGTCCCTTATAAAACCATAGAATTCTAGAACTAGAAGGAATCCTCAAGACATCATCAAGTTCCCTGCACTCAACGCAGGATCAAGCACAGTCTAGATTGGGGTGGGCAATAATTTTTGATGGGAGCCACTCCCAACTATTTGGCAAGTGGTTGAGGGCCGCATTCTTCCATTATATTAATGGAGGAGGTGCTCACGCCTGGGACGGAATTTAGATGCAGAAGGGATTTGGGGGTAAGGAATTGGGGTGCGGTATCTGGGAAGGAGGGGATTGCGGGAAGGAGGGGATTATGACCTGGGATAGCAGACTTGGGTGCAGGGTCTGGGAGGGATATGGGTGCAGGAAAGGATTCTGGATTGGTGGGAGCGGTGTAGGAGGAGGGGAGTGCAGGGTCTGAAAGGGAGTTGTGACTGAGTGCAGGACGGTGTGCAGGGATTTGGGTTTTGACGAGACAATGAATTGGGGTAAAAGCTCTGGGAGGGGGTTGTGACCTGAGGAGAGGTGTAGGAGGGAATACAGTGAGTGTCTGGAAAGATGTATGGGGCTGGAGCAGGGGTGCAGAAAATTTGGGTTACATGCGCTGGGCAGAGAGTTGGGGAGGGACTGGGGTGCCAGAGGCAGGCTTTGGCTGGGAGATCTTACCTGGGTGGCTCTCAGCCAGGAGCCTCGCAGGCTCGTTAGCCAGGGTCCCTGCCTTCCATGCCCCCGTATGTGCTCAGAGCAGCTCCAGGGGCCATGTTTGCTGCTGTGAACTGAACACTGTGAGCTGGGAGACATAAGAGGGGAAGGGCACTTCACATGCTGCCTGTCCTGCAAACAGGCAGTGGCTTTTGGTCAGAAACTGGCCAATGGGAGCTATGTGGGGTGGGGACAGTGTGAGAAGCCTCTCGCCTCCTCCCCTGGGCTCTCAACATTCAGAAATGCACATATGGCCCTGCAGTGGGCTTTTCTGAGTGCCAAGTGGGGGAGGGAGAGGTGCAGGCAGGGAGATTCCAGAACTTTTCTAGGCAGTTTATTCGCGCTCCATCTCCGTATTAGTGCACTAATAAAATTCATTCCCCACATGGACATACAAAATTAGAGGGAAATGCTGCTTGAGGCATAAGGGATTGGTCGGAAAAGGCCTTCCTTGTTGACCAATCCGCGTCTAGACTGCCGCTTTTTACCAGCAAAGTGCCGCATTGGCAAAAAGCGGTGGCCATTTCTATTCAAATGAAGCGTGGGATATTTAAATCCCTGCTTCATTTGCAATAGTGATGTGCCTAATCTACATCCCTTTGTTGGCAGAGGGGTGTAGGTTAGACACATCCTATGTTTGACATAGCCTTGTCTATGTCTTCTGTGGTTCATCTCACTGAAACCAACAGCTTCTGGCCTCACCAGCACAGACTTACAGGTTTCTGCAAACCTCACCTTCATGATACGTGCTATTGCTAGGTACACTCTAACCCTCATATCCTCAGAGCACTTGCAGCAGTTTCCAGCCTGTCACTGGACACTTACAGTAATTAGCAGGTAAGTTGCTCCCAACAAAACCGTGTTTTCACCTCTTGACTGGTCCAGCACTATAATCTACTTGTAGTGAAAACAAATGCTTTTTTTAACAGAGATTAAGATGTAAGTGATACTTAGATTGAGTGGAACCAGAACTGGTATTGTCACGGTCTGTGGAGGGAGCTGTGACTGTTAATGCCTGCCTCTGGTCAGACTGTCAGAAAACAGGGCAGATACCCCAAACTGGTGGCATGGTCGATAATTAGATTTCACTAAGCCAGTGACAAATGTGAACTCCTGTTTTACTATGGTGTCACACAGTCATCCCCTTAGACTGTGTATTCTATTTTACCACCCAAAAACTGGACTTAGTGTGATTTTTTTGGTATAAGTTACCTTATGTCACTATCCGGTTACTCCAAGTCCCAAGAAATCAGTCCCTCACCCACATCAAATTGCATTCTAGATCTTACACTAAAGATTATGTTGGTAGCTAATTCAGTCATAAACTAGCTAAAGGTTTATTAGCTAAGAAAAAGAAATATTATTGAGAGGTTAAAGCAGGTAAAATATAGACACAGATGAGTCATAGTTTGTAATTCCAAATGGTGGCAATGATGCAATAAGCTGCTAAAACAACAAGAAGACTGATGACACCTTAAACTCTAACATTTATTAAGGCATCAGTTTTCCTTTCTCTGCTTCCCTATAGATCCTGCCACTGCCGGGGACCCAACTGCTGCTGCTGTGCAGCGCCACGTCCCTGCAGCCCCAAGTGATCCCCAAAGTCTCATCTTCTGGGAACAGGGTGCCATCGGGGGAAGAAGGGGAAGGACGGAGAAATGGGTGGCAGGGCTTGGGGAATGGTAACAAACAGGCCCCCAGAGCCTGCTGGAACTTCCAGACCAGATTGAGCAATTGTTCTGGCCCGGGATTTGAGAACCCTGATTTAAGTTCTCGCATGTAGAATGTTAGCTATCGGTTAATTGAATAGTCAACTAACCACATGAATTCTTAGTGATTAGTTGACTATTGTATAGTCCCCTGGAGCAGGGCCTGCAGCCTGTGTACTCTGGCCCCTGCTCCCGGGGAGCCCCCTGCTGCCCCACACTGCTGCAGGTGGGAGCTGGTCTGCAAAGGGAGCTAGTTTAAAAACAGAAGCAGCAGCAAAGGGTGGCAGCAGTCCCTGTCCATGGGGTGTCCAAGGTCCCTACGGAGAGAGGTAGCTGGGGGGAGAGCTGGGGAGGCTGCCCCGAAGCAACCTCTGTCCATGGCTATCTTTGACATTGCCATGGACAGAGACTGCATTGCGGCAGGGGGCCCCCGTCG